AGCTCTCCCTCCCCTGCAGTGTTGACTCTGAACCCGAGAGGTGGCAATTCATTTCTGCTCTGCGTTCTGCTCGGCGGCACGCCACAGTGTCCTGCTGCCACCTGTCCCCTAGCCAGAGCAAAGCAAGGCTGGTTGGGTGCGGACTGCTGCCTACATGCGGTTCTGTATTGGCAGAGCCATGCAGTTCCAGGGACGTCCATCCTGCAGCTGCTGCCCTTGGGAACTTACACTCCAAATTGTCAGCAGAGAGGCCCAAACAGCTTCCCTCCCATTCCTGGGGCTGTCCCTCACCTGGCAATGGCATGCCGCTTGCTGGTGCTGGCTGCAAAAAAGCTTTAAGAGTTAAAAAAATGTAAAAATGAAGAGCAGGTCTGCTGCACACACTGCTTCCACTGGCCCCCGGATGACCCCTCCGTTGGACCCACAGAGAACACTGCTCCTCAGGCTCTGGGCAGGCAGGTGGCCATGGCAGAGTCTCGAAGGACTTGTCATGTAAACAGTCACGAGAAAGGCAAACGTCCTATTTTCTGCCACAGGTCTCATCCCTGCAGAGATCCAGCTTCCGCGTCCTATTGCAACAATTTTGGCACCTCCACCTGCCAAGAGAAGAGGCTCAGTTACCCTTCAGCACAGGCCTGGACCCAAGGGGTTATTGGAAGGGCTGGGCTGCTTTATTTTGAAATGGATGATGTGTGAGCGGGGGAGTGAGTCTCCAGTGAGCAGGCAGCAGGGGCAGCCCAGCTCGAGGTGGAAGGAAGCTCAGGCTGTATGTGCTGTTCAGTCTGGGCCTCTTGAGGTCAGAAAGCCAGTTGCAATATGGGCAACTCAGATGGGGACAGCAGTTCTGTTTACACAGCTCCGCAAGCCCTACTGAGAGTCAGGGTGCCAGGTACCCTCCTCTGAGCCACTGCGGGAGCCTTGTCCTCACACTGAGCCAGCCAGAGTCTATGGGATATCAGCTGAGCTCAGATGCCAGCCTGGGGCTGGAATGGCTAAAAAGATGAATGTTCTCCCTACGAACACCCAGCAGGCTTAGCTGGGTACCCTGGCACATGCTTCTGTACAGCACATCCCAGTTATCTGAGGGAGAAGCTGCAGAAAATCCTCAGCCTCTGAGCAGAAACACCACAGAGTGTGCCCATGGGCCTGGGCACTCTGGGCTCATCCACTGTCTGCTGGTGACGCACAGGGTGTTTCCGGCTATTGAACTCCTTGTGACGGGGTGGAGCAACCCCGCCACTCGAGCGAGGCAGATGGGGCCGCCGCGGAGCCGGCAATCAGCGCGGCAGGCCCGAGCGGGGGCGGAGGGACACGTCATCACGCGGCGCCGGGGCGCGCCGGTGATGACGTCGGGAGAGCAACGCCAGGGACGGCAAGGGGAGGGGGGATAAAAGGAGCCGGGGAGGCCAGGGGAAGGGGGGCGGAACCGGCGGGG